TTTTTCTTCACCTTGCCTACGACCACCATCACCGACACCTGACACCAGCTGGCGTAAGATCAGCTGTCTCAGAGGTGCTCGGTACCACAGACAACAATATCACGTTGGTCTAGCGAGTAAAGGTAGGCTTTGCACTGGCAGCAAAGGATGAACTCACCTGGAAAGAGCTCCTGGATTCCTCTACATCACGGAGGGAATCTGGAATCAATCTGGTTGCCTTTCAAATTACCACCGTCCCGGTGAGGATCAATACACCCACAGGTTCCTTTTTCATCACGGAAAAGATGGTCGCCGACGAAGTCACGCCGATGACCAAGTCAGTTCCTTTTCTTCTTCTTCCTCATGGGAGCTGCAAACTCAGGGCGCTATACCAGAACTGGCAAGCGCTCTTCCCTCGCGAATCCATGCCAAGACCTGGATTCTGCCTCCTCGATAACGCCGAAGCTACAAAGCTCTTGCAACCTGGTCGAAAAATAGTTCAGTGCAATAGATGCATTGGCTTTCATGCCTCTCGCCGTTGCTCTCGCCCTACGGCTTGTTGGAACTGCGGATCAAAAATAAACTGGGAAGCAGAGTGCAAACCCCCCACACGGTATCGAAACTGTGGGTAACCTCACCGATCGGATTCGCGGTTCTGCGGAGCTAAACCCAAAGAGTTCGGCCCGGTGAAATAAGAGCAGCTCGCGATAATTCGCATGGTCGAGCAAAAAAAGCACGCAGATTATGCTCGTGACAAAGCTGCAGCCAAAATAGCCTTTCAGTCGATTTACGGCTCGAAGAACGATTTCTACAAGTCAGACGGACTGGGTTTTGGAATTCTGGAATCCGAAGAGGAGTTTTAAGATTTCAGCAAGCCTCAGTGACGCCGTCAAGGCTTCAACAAATAATGAGCAGGACACCGGCTAGATAAAGGTTGCCTGCAAGCTCATTTTTTGCTCTCAGCGGAGGTTAGTTATTGTCACTCGGAAGATGTGACAGGAAAGGGAACGGGAGAGAAGCACGGGATCCGTGCCTAATTGGGACTTCTTCTAAATTTGACTTTAGTTTTTGATTTTAGTTTTGCTGTTAACACCATTATTTATGTGGAAGTTCATGTGGTTGGAATTATTTCGTCTTGTGTACAGTGATCCTCGCCTGCTCTACCGGTTCTGTACGGATAGTAGGATGTAGAGCTTTTTACTTTAGCTCAGGGCTTTAAAAATTCAACAACACATAGAAGAATGGATAATACCCAGATTAAAGGTTTTCCTAGCCTTTAGTTCGAAAGGATCTTCATATCCTACTTAGTCTTAGTCTAGGAGATGACAGTAACGATATGACAACGCGAGCGACAGACTTCTTACAATTTTCAATTTTTCGGTAATAGTATCTGCGTCATCCACCCATCACACAAAAGTTCTAGAAATTAATAATGTCAGATTTAGATAAAAGAGCAACCACCATACACCGTGTAATGAAAGGGCGAGGTAGTCCGAGAGTTTAAAATTTTTGACAGAACAAAAGTATACGGCTGAATGAAAGTTAATAGTTCTACTGCACTTGGAGTAACATTAACGAATATATGCACGGCATTAGCTCATTGTCAAAATCAAGTCGTCCACTCAAACTCATATTTATTGGGCAAAGCTTTATCTCATCTGACCTGTGCCTACGAAATACAACTACCGGCTATAAACAACATTAGCTTGCATGACATTCGTAGTAGCTTTAATTCGCTTCTTATTGCCAGGACTCGGCCCCTTCAATAGACAGTTAGGCTAGTGCTAAAAGTTGAGGGACCACCCTTCTCTTTGCTCTCGATTTAACAGTAGATAGGCTTTTCTCATGTCTCCTACTTTCCTACAAGCCTCTTTAGTGAAAGTTGGTTGTGTCCGTTTCCTGGGCGAGGCACTCTCGAAGACGCGAATTTTTGATATCGACTTTAGGTCCCTGGAGCGTGGATGTACAGTATTCAAGTGACCAGCATGTTACTGCAGTCTACTATCCGATATGCACAGAAACCCCACATATCCAAACAGATTCTTTAAATCAAGTGGTCAATGAATAAATTTGTAGACATCATTATCCACCCCTTCATTTTAACTTTGTTAGTCCCCTATACTTTGGTCTCGATATATTCAGTCAACAGCTGGGATTTTTCTACAAGCAGTAGCGGCTACGCTCAGTCCATATTTTTCTACAGGACGAATTACCTATGGCAGGTAGCAGCCAAATTGAGGTAGGGAGTAATGGGGTTAGTTCTAGTTAAAGTCTCGACTGAGTTCCAGATAATGAAAGACTATGTCAGACCAGAATCAGAGCCCGATGGAATCAGTGTCCTTGACTTGATGTTTTCGTGATTCATGTAAATATTAAAGTTCTAGGGGTATTTGGAAAGATAGAAGTGAACGTTGACAGTCAAGTCAATACTGTACGAATCATAAGATATTGGGGATTTAAGGATCAGAGATAAAAGTTTAGGATCAGTGAGGTTTTGGTTTTACTGAACTTATATTTCGGTAGTTAAAATTGTTAGTGTTTAATCTACATCTAATTGTCTATCTATGTTCTACCTCGCTTAGGTAGAAACATTGTGTTCTGATTACGTGATGGAATAACATTCACACCACCGAGATCATTACCAATCGAGACCTCACCAAAGCTGGTAGCGATCGAAGATGAATAGTCTTCGTCTACTCCGCACTGCGTGCAGTTCAGTCTGGCATGTCTAGATCTCAACAGTAAATTCCATTCTTCTAACATGATCGTAACATTATTGTCAGAATAACATGCCAAGCTGGTACCTGACATAATTTATGATTGCCTCAGGAAAACCTTGGCGTTTTGGGTAATTTTCAGCTAGAATATACTTGGCGTCCGTGTAACAGACGTGGTGGACTGGTATTGAGTCTATTTAGGATTACATCTTGGCTACAACATGTTTAGATTGTGTCTTGCGATGTAAGGAAGCTATTTCTAGATATTATCATCATATGTCAGGTAGTAGATTTGTGTAGATATATAAGCCGAGAGAAAGAGGAAGAAATACAGACAGACAGACAATTACATCTTTTTATTTACTTCAATTGAAAGCTCCTGTGCGAGCTATTCTTCCAGATACCTCTAGTCTCAATCATTACAGCTTCTGAACCAGCTCAAAAGGTTCGACAGACTACCGTAATTAGATTGGTTATCTTTTAGTTTGAAGCCGGTTTCTCATCTTGGATAGCTACCTTTTTGCTGGTAGGTCCTAAGGCTCAAGCCCTAGCAATGAAGAATAATCCATGGTGCGCAAAATGAATCTTCGCCAGCAACTATCATCAAGAGCGTGAGGGAATGAAATCTCCCTCGGAATAAGATATGAGGTGAGCCAAACCCTTCCAGGATTCATACGTCAAGAAAATTTTGACACTATACCGCGACTCTGCGTTAGACCAGCACCTAGTCGGATCGTCTGGCGCAGTGATCAAAGCTTGCAGTGTAGGCTGTTACTAGTTTGAGTCTTGGAGCAGACCAAAGTGTCATGACGCGGCAGAAGTCACAAAAATAGAGTATCAGTTAAGATGCCTGAGGCCAATCTAAAGCTCCTAGCTCCTGCTGCGAAAAAGGTTGTTGAATCATGCGCTAGTAGCGAGGTACAAGTTATTGCTTTCTTTAGCAGCGTGATCTTGGGTCTTCGGGTATGCATAGGTCACTTGGTGGTCAGCCTTGAGGAGACGGGTTACTGCATTAAGAGTCGTTCCAAACTAGCGGACTCACCCAATCATCTCCATGTGAAGAAATTCTGGCGGAAAGACACCAGACGGACCCACGTATAGAATTTGTTAACCGAACTTTTCCTTGCTCGTTGCTTCTTGCCAACTAAATTGCAGCCATTTTTTTCCCAACCTGATGATGAGCTATTGCTGGTTTTTTCATCAACAGCGAAGTGCATAAGATTCTCGAATTTCAAGATCTGAGAGGATATTTTGGGCCAGCTCAAGCTTCAATTTTTTGACTAAGTCAGCTGCTTGTTTATTAAAAAATCTGCCGACTTGAAAGAATTCTATTCGACAATCTCGCCTATCTCAACTATATTGCACATTCACGCCGCTATTTCAACATATTTCTATGTAATATTACACTTCAACCTTTCGCCAAGGATACGCCTCAAATAGAACATATTTTGCCATATCCTTCGAGCCCTTGTTTCATCGATCGGGGAAACTGAAGTGGAAAAACTATGCCGGGTGATAGGTCTGCATTGCGATAATCTTTCTAGCCTATGGGATTTTTTTCATCAAAGTAGTTAGCCGCAAATTATGAAGCTCTTTGTAGCCTTGAGACATGGCTTCCATAGCTTCTTTTCCGAATACCGTGCATCTTGCGGCTTTACTAAGTCGTGCAAGGCGAAAAATTATCTTGGATCGTGCAGCCTGAAGACATGAATCTTACTACTTCGGCCGTGGCGCTGTCTTTTCGTGCCTCTAAACGAGGCGGGAAATTTTCGATGCAAAAATTACATTTTCTTTTTTCTCACCAACCACGATGATAGCGATCATCTGAAATTCTACTCTTTAGATGGATTTTGAGCTACATATTCCGAATTTTAGTGGCTCTCGCTCGCATCTATTCAGAATGTGACAATGTGACTAAATCTTGGTATAGTTTGGTGATAGAGCAGTGGCTATTCCATAGTGTTTCATCATGCTTCTCACTTCTGATCATGCTTTCTTTCCTAAAATCATAGTTGATGTCATTACTTTCATCTTGAAGTAGTTCTACTCACTTGAAAATCTACAAGAAGATCATAGGGTATGGATTTCTGGCTGTTTGGATCAGAAATAAACCCTTTTCATTGACTCAATTACTTTATCTGTGGCACATTTAAGGGAAAGAATTTCAAATTCAAGCCATATTTTCGATGATAGACGTCTCTTGAAAGTAGCTACCTACACGGATAGGTGTGCTGTGCAGTAAACCGTTTCTAAAGTCAACAGACAGCTAGGCAAGGGCCAAGTAAGAATTTTTACCAACGAAGTATGAGTAGAGAATTAGTTGTCGAAGAGACAATTGCTTCCCAACTTAAGCGTCTCGGGAATCAAAGGCCAGAAGTTTTCCGATCGAAATGGGCCGAAATCGGCTTCGTATTCTCTATCTCAATGTCTCAAATTCTCTCGGTATGCTCTATCAACCCAATCTTCTCAATCTAGTTCTAATAAGCGGAAGGAGTACTTTATCTCTGGATTTTCAGTTTTCCTTCCTGCTCTAAATAAACAACTTCAAATGTCATCTGAATCCTCCGTATGGCCGGCTAGCGCATTTTCAGTAACGGTAGCTAGCTTTCTCCTAATTTTTGGACGGCTTTCGGATATCTATGGGGGCTATCCCGTCTATGTAGCAGGATGTGCATGGCTTGCGGTATTAAGTCTAGTCTGTGGATTTTCTAATGGCAGAATCATGCTAAACATTTGCCGCGCACTCCAGGGAATTGGTCCAGCCGCCTTTCTCCCATCATCTGTGATGATTCTGGGTAGTATTTATCGTCCGGGTCCTAGAAAGAACATTGTTTTCAGCATTTATGGTGCCTGCGCTCCGATGGGGTTCTTTATTGGGATCCTGTTGGCGGGATTTACGGCTAAATACGCGTCATGGAGCTGGTTTTTTTGGGTGGGGGCTATCTTATCGATTATCACAGCTATCACCGCTTACATTACCATTCCTTCTGATATGGAAGAAAAGCGAAATTGCAAAGTAACGGCTCAAATGGATTGGCTTGGATCAATACTCGTGGTGGCAGGTATCACCCTCTTCACTTTCGCTATCATTGATTCATCTCACGCACCGGACAAATGGAAGACACCATACATCTATCTTACCTTTATTTTAGGTGTAATTATTTTGTTAACAGCAGCTTATGTTGAGGCTAGAGTGGCTTCCCAGCCACTACTACCCACTTCCTTATTTAAAGTACCATGCATGTGCGCTTTATTTCTTGTTTTACTTTTAACTTTTGGGTCTCTTGGAATATTTTTGTTCTATGCCACATTCTACATGGAAAATGTAATGGACGCATCACCATTTCAAGTAATTGCATGGTACACCCCCATGGCTTTTGGTGGCTGTTTGATAGCAGCATTTGGTGGAATGGTACTTCACCTACTGCCTGGTACAGTCCTAATCATCATTTCTGGTATTTCATGGATTATTGCACCGCTTTTGTTCGCAATCACACCCCAGAAAGCAAGTTACTGGACATATATATTTCCTTCAATGATGTGCGCTCCAATTGGTATAGATATTACGTTTAATGTGGCTAATATCTTTATCACAACATCTCTGCCCAAGAGTCAGCAGGGGCTGGCAGGGGCTATCATCTCCCTTCTAGTTCACCTTGGCATAGCAATTATGCTTGGGTTTGCAGATATTGTTAACACATATGCAACAGCGGTAGCATTATATCCGAGGCAGAGTTACCACGCTGTTTTCTGGTTTGAAGTTGCCTGCGCAGCTACTGCCCTTTTAATCTCGGTACTTTTTGTGCAGATCAAGAGAGCCGAAAGCGAAATGACAACAGAAGAAAAGATCAAGCTTGAAGGTATCGGCACAGAAACAGCTCTAAAATTTAACTGCTGCAAGCCAAACGATTGAATTATATCAAAATAATTCTTAGCCATATGTCTTGGACTTGAACATCACCATTCTCTCCATAAGATACTTCCAAAGCTTAATATGTTCTAAATCACAGCTTCAAGTGATTTATTTGGAGGTAGCAATTTCGATCATTATGACCACTGGTACTTGAAATCAACTAATTGATTTAGGGAAAAATATCCAGAAATTCAGTAGCTAGCCTGTAACAGGATGCTTGCATGATTTTTGGCCACTAAATCAAGGGATTCTTCCTAATATATCATGTTACAAGCTGTCACCTAAACTCCACAATACATGCAATCAGATATTCTCTTCGAAACTTCAAAAGTGCAATTTTATTAGAAAATCACTTCTTTTAGACTCAGAGCCCTTTGATACACTCATAATAATATGGAGGTTGAATCCACTGAAGCAAATAATTGATTTAAAGCCTATTTATTTGAGGTTATATTAGAATAAAATCGATTCGGGCGCCTTTTCAGGAAGAATATACGAAGCGTTAAGCTACAATCAGTCAAGTCATGGCGATAAAATTAGCTATGTCGTAATCTCGGCCATATTTATTCATCTAGCTTTATAACCAAAAGAAATCTTATATTATAGACCTAAGATAGTCTCATATAACTCGACTCTTATAAATAAGGATGAGATAGCATATTGCCGAGGGATCTAGTTGTCGCTTATCAACCGACTGGTTATTGTGACAAGTTATACGCACCATCCACTCACCAGATAACCAATATCTTGTCAAATTTGATCATGTACTAAGCTAGCATCTAAAATGTAACTGAGTTTATTGTTTGAAGGGAAAATCAAAAATTAAGTATCTCTCTACAATTTCAAATAATGTATAGCCATGTAACATCACTAGTGTAGTCTTTAGCAAGTAAATATATATGTTGGTCTCGCAGCTTGATAATTGGCTCACTCCCTTGCTCAATTAGAATCATAGCAGCTGTCGGAATACTTAGGTGGTATTTGTATCACAAGCTTTCTATAGCAGTAGTAACGATTGAAGTAACATTTAGCTTTATTTTTGTCTTTTCTAACTAAAGGAAACACGTGTATAGATGTTATCTCCCTCTCCTAATGCCATTCCTAAACAGGTAACTCATTACTTATCAACCAAATTAGTCATCATTTCTAGGATAATACATGAAAAGTCATTAAGTCACTAGATCATTAGAAAGTAGCCTATAGGCCTGAGCTTTTGAGAATTCATCCTGTGTTTATGGTAGTTTGTTTTACCTTTTTCGCATCTGCTCATTTTATTTAACCAAAGTTTTATCATATGAATTTCTCGCGCTCATCAAGTAAGGGATGAGCTTCCAATAATTAATAAAATTCGAGGAATGAGTCAAGAAGTTAGTGAAATCTTGTGGCAAAATCAAACATTATGCCAAACATTGGCCGAAATTGCAGCTGAGTTTCAACACGGCTTGTCATAGGAGACGATAGAATTTAATAGGGGTCAGCTCGAATGATTTAATCACAAAAGTCTTATTCTGGTTATCGCTTGTTGGGACTCACGAATCTTACTTTACTTCGTTTTTCTACTTTTACGCCCCTCGAATCGACTATGGACATCTTTTGTCTGTGTGTCTGGCGCACTCTAGGAGTCTTAACTCAGTGTTTATCCAAGCCAGCGAGAGGTCGACTTAGTTCACAATATTGTACTTTCAGCCCTGGAGAAGTAGCTAAAGGACCAAAATATTGCCGCGCATTAAAATCAAACACTCGTAGAGACCCATCGCCAAATAAGACGATCTCTTTATATCCTGGGTTTTGACTGGGGGAGTGGACGTCCTTCCTCGTGTTCGCGCCAGAATAGCAATGTTGACTAGAAGCCGCTTGGCCTATACTTATTTTATATCTTAAACCACGAAACCTCACGTATACCACCAGCTACTTGATAAAAGCTTCAAATCAGCTGAGCCGTGCAGCTGACACGGAAGAAATCCAAGCCGTTTTAGGCCTCATGAACGACGCTTCTCTCCGACAGCAAGATATTTGGAATCTAGACGAGGTTGGGCGTTTTCTTAGCCGCTATAATAACTCTAGATTCCTTTCTACGAATAGCAATAGTCAAGCATACGTCTAGCCTCTAAAAAAGTGCGACTTGTATTAGTTGTTAGGGCGATGCTAGTGATTTGACGCTGAATTTGATCCGGCTCTGTCTTTCAGGAGATCATCTCTCAAGCCAGCTGGATTTTTCCCTTTTCTCCCGTCGTGAAATCAAGATGTTAACATCAGTTCCAGACTCAATCAGTCTTAGATGGTGTAGCACCGCTTAAGAAGGGAGGCGTTTATCGCCGTCTATAAATTGCCCGTAAGGAAAGCTCATCAAATTGAGCTCTTCGAACTAGCTAGGGAGCCTCTGGATTCTCACCCTTGAACGCTCAACTTATACTTGGGTCCCCTAAATAGCTGCCTACTCAAGAACCCTCCGAAGCGTGAAATTTCTCCAAAATGAGCCTTGAATGTGTGCCAAGCTTAACAAAAGTTCCAACCTCCGAAAATTCATCTCGAGGTAAGGGTTGCTTTTCAATAGAGAGGGAAAGGTAATTATCCTGGCCGATATCAGAATAGCTAAGAACAAGCGATGAAAGTAAGTCGACGAAGCTGAGTAAAATTTCTAAAGAGACCTGGTTCCCCTGCCGAAAGTGGAATATTTACGACACTTGATGCTGTGGAGGTTGTCATTGTAGTCAAGGCAGCACATAACTGCATCACTCTCGCCCTCACTTGCTACTTGTTTTCAATGTGCTAGTCACATCATATATGGCGAAAAAATATAGGGATAATTATCCTTCGATATATCACGGTCACGCCAAGTAACAAACTATCGTAGCACCACGGTAGATAAAGCACTGTCAGTTATCATCAGGTACGATATGGTGCGCGTGCAAGCTGAGTGGGATAAAATGGGTGTACCTTCTAGCATAAATCGAAAGCTAAAGCGTAGATATCTATTCGAAAGTCGTGTTCCATTGGTCTATAGCACACAGTTCTAATCGAGGAGATCAGTGCCAGATCAGTATTCTCCTTGTTTGTGGTAGAAACCTCTTTATTGGTCAGTCAATTCTTGCGGAATTCTCTGTGAAGCAGGGACGAGAGGAGCTTTGTTAGTTAGATGGATAGTAATGAAGTAACAAAATATGACGTAGATTGGTTTTTGTAGCTTATTAAATAGGTGGAGGAGCAGGCATAAGAGAATATACTTTATAGATCAATTTTACACCTAATTATCATCCGCTGTGATATCATTGCAAATCCGAGATATATCGACAAAAACCTTCAGCGCCTCCTAGAGACTACCCCTTCTCTCCTCTCAGGACCTATTAATACCGCCCACACATTAAAATAAACCGCATTTGAGCCCAGACTGTAGCCCAAGCAAGCATTGAGGCAGCACAAAAGATAGCCAATCATTTATCACAACCTGGGGGCAGATGTTCTACACGTCTAATGGGAAATGTAATTGCTTGTACTGAAATGTTGTTATGAAAAATAACCTCTGACTCTGTTCAAGTTTGATAAAGTATACATCACGGAGAGAGATGCAAGATACTAAGCTAGATGGCTCGGACCTGATTTCCCCGAATTCTTATCTTTCTCGGGAGACTTCTACCTTGTATCTGGTAAACTGGTGAGCGTAACTCCCGCTCTCCGATACATTATAAATATGTCCAGAGCTTGAACTCCTGCCTGCTAGCTATGGGTAGCACTAGTCTGCTCCCTAATCGTTAAATTTGGGGCCGAAGATGCGACCAAGATCGCCCCCCATCTGGGTATGTCGAGAGCCGACGCTCGCGCTCTTCCACCATGTCAGCCCAAGAGACGCTAGAATTATGCTTGCAGGTGATTAAAATTAACTTTAAAGTCAACACGAATAGTACGAGATTCTTACAGATGAATGTCTTCGCCGCTTACAGCCCACGTCTTGAAATGGCAAGGATTTGAATCCACCAAGAAAGTTGTCGAAGTAGTCCCATGCTCTTCATTTCTCATTATGCCCTAGCTACAATACGATACATTTAGCCGCACCAAGGTCTGCCGGAGCGTTTCCTGTCGCATGCAAAGAAATTTTTTACCTGCTTGGGTTACTGAATGACAAAATCGATTACCTGACGTAGGAAAAGAAAAATTACAATAGTCTCTTCTCTTTGTATAGTCGTTTGGCTGCAAGATATAGATGCCACTGAATGTCATTCGTAATTTTACGACAGTTATTCCTTCACATTACTATACCAGATGGACTAAAAAGGCTGGGATAAATGTGTAAAAAATGGGGTTCACGGCATCAACATCGATCCGGGGTTCAAGATTGAGAGCAGAGGTCGAAACTGGGAAGACAAGTGGTCAGGTTTAGATGATGGAGAGTCTGAACTCGCCCGTTATCGAAATGTATAGGGAGGAAGTATGGGTAGGCGTTACGGCCGGCTTTCATCCTACTTCGTTCGAAATGATCTTTGTAGTCGCCTGGATTCAGAATACGGTACCTTCTATCCAATATCCACCAGATTTCCCTGTGCCATCTCGATGGATATTCTAAGCCTTGTAGGGGCTAGTGTTGATTTTTAAAAAAGATTCTCAGGCGTCTTTGAATTAAGGTATTGCTAGTCAGTCTTCCCCTTTGTACCAAGATCCCACAACCTAGCCTTTTCGAGCAAAGTTCGTGTGAACTAAAGCGATTGGATCTGGTTATTATATTATATTGTCAAAATACTTGTTTGCTCCAAAACCTTGGCTTTTTTTCACTTCAATAGGTGCACAGCGTATATGCCCCTTTGAATGTCGTAATTTTGGAAATTACTATTTTCCATTAGCAAGGTTATTTTCCCACAATATCAGTTTTCCTTTATGAGTCGAAATGCATCGATACGATACTTGCGCTATCAGTCGTGGCTGTTCGAGGCCACAATTTTTCTCCAACGCTGGTTAACTGAGCCAATCAGGGAGGTTTTCCAAAATTCACCATAAAGCCTTTGTGTTTA